CTTAATTATTTGGTGCATACATTATATATATATATCAATATCATATAATTTATTTTTATATATAATTAATTACTTTTTATATCAGCATAAAACTAGATTATACTAATATTAATAATTCTATAACATTAGTCATTATTAATAATTAATTTATGGTAATCATCAATAATGATAAATATTTATGTTTTTAGGTAATCTCTTATAGAATTATAAATTATAGGTAAGAGAAGTACAGTATATAGAAAATATAAAAACTGTTTATGAAATTAGTTTATTTAATACAAAAACATTGTTTTAAATTTAAATTTTAAAAACAGATTACTTTTATAAAACAAAATTTAAACTAAAATTAAACATAAAAATATATTTATTTAATAATTTAATACATTTAATAATATATTTATAAATGCATCAAATGTTTTAGGTCTTTTCAAAAACAAAATTTCCTTAAAAAACGCTTCACTGTAATACAAATATATTATGTATTATTATTATATATAAATATATATTTGTATGAAATTAGTGATATTTAGTTTATTTTTTAATAATTTATTTTTACATTTTATTTTACATTCTAATAGAACTAATATATTTTATCCAAAATATATAACAAAATATAATCAATATTTTTTGTTATCAAAATCTAGTGCAACATATTTTACTTAATAAAGGATTATTGAATTTTTTTATTTAAATTTAAAATCATTTTATATAATTTAAATAAAATGTTAATAATACACATAAGGGGCCATTCACATACTACGTTCTCACTTTTTAAGAAATCTTGACCCCTTTCCTTTATGTTCGCAATTGTTCGCATGAAGTCATTTAAGAAAATTACGTTCGCGTATCCCTAACCGCTATCCCCACCACTAAAAAATAAAATTATCAAAATGAAAACGTTCTTAAAGTCTATACCTCTCCCCTCCCCCTCGTTCGCAAAAGTTCGCTTTGGCCAACCCTCCTCCCCTCAAGTGCGAACGTAATATGTGAACCACCCTAACAGTATATTGCTATATATTTTTATTATAATAAATTTAGTTGTAATGTAGTTGTATTAATATTTTTATATAAAACAAATATATTATATTTAGATTCTTGCATAGAATACATTTTAATTTAATTCACTATTAAAACCAACTTTTTAATAAAGTAAAAAAGTGTTTCGGTCATCAAATTTTAGTATATACAATAATTCCTATTTTAATAGCATTTAATAATAAATAAATTTTAATCTTATTTTTTCTCTCTTTTACATACTTACATAAACGTACATATATATATATATATATATATATATATATATATATATATATATATATATATATATATATATATATATATTTGTATATATATATATCAATATATATATATATAACCAAACAATATGATTGATTGTTTTTGCATCCATTTTAAAAAGTCATTTATCATATATAAGACTAGCAATATTTGGTAAATTATATGGCTATTTATTTATTGCTTTTCTTGGAGATATCATTTTTGTTTTGAATACAATTTAAAATTAAAAAATTATTTTAAATATTTAATTTCTAAAAATTTATTATTACTTTTATAATTTTAATTTTATAAATATAATTTACTATTTGTAAATTGTTTTATTAATAATTAACAAATTAATTTATGTTTATTGTTTCATTGATACAATTTATGAATATAACGTTTATTATTACAAAGTATTATAATTATTATTTTATTTAGCCTTAAGTTAAACAATATCTCTAAATAGATATAATTATAGAAAATTAAAAACAAAATCAAAATAAGTTATTAAAAATTGCACAAATAATACTGTAAACAGAATAATTTTGATATCAATAATAAAGTGATATATTTTGTTTAATAAATATGTGACACAAAATGTTTAAATAATTCAAACTAAAAACATCCGTTCGTTAGTTTGGATTAAATTTAAGTTTTAATAATAACCAGTTGAGAATGCTAGAAAGCATTTCCACACGAATTCCTAATCATAATTAAAAATTAAATTCAGTATGATAAAATAAAATCAACTATAGTTATGTAGAGTATCAAACGATTTAGTATGACAAAATAAACAACTATAGTCATGTGGGGTATCAAATGATTCAGTATTACAAAATAAACTACTATTTTCCTAAAAAATAAACTTAAAAACGAAAAAAATCAATATTCAAAAAAATTCAAAAAAAATTCAAAAAAAATTCAAAAAAAAATTCAAAATTTTTTTAATTAATTTTTGGACACCATTTTCTTCAATTTCCTAAAAAATAAACTTAAATAAGAAAAAAACAAAACAAAAATTCAAAAAAAATTTGTAGCGGATAGTGGATTCGAACCTATGTCCTCGTGGGACAGACAGACCGACAGACCGACAGACCGACAGACCGACAGACCGACAGACCGACAGACCGACAGACCGACAGACCGACAGACCGACAGACCGACAGACCGACAGACCGACAGACCGACAGACCGACAGACCGACAGACCGACAGACCGACAGACCGACAGACCGACAGACCGACAGACCGACAGACCGACAGACCGACAGACCGACAGACCGACAGACCGACAGACCGACAGACCGACTTATAGAATGCATATACGTATTCCTTTCAGGAATTCGTGAAAATAAGTTAAATGTTAGACATATGGTTTGGTATCTAATGATGAGTGTATGCGCATAGAAAGTGGAGTCATATAATGGTAGTCATAGTCATAGTCGGCTTCATTATTGATCTGCAATTGATTTTTATTGAACATTACTATTACTAGTGCTTTAAGTTTTGTAAAGTAGAGGTCAATAATAAGAGACAAAAAAAACAAATCAACTCTACATTTAGCTCTTTATCCATATAGTAAACTACCGGTGCTTTCTTTAGATATTAATATAAAAATTATAAATAGAGAAAACATTTTTTATAATGTCATAACAAATTGCAGTATTTTAATGTTATTTCGATTGTTTTAATAATTTATAACAAAACATGTTTTTATAAAATATTTGAAAATATTAAAAACTAATGTGTTTTTTAAATTTATTGAAGAGTTTTTGAGACATTTGATGTAAAAGTAAAGAAAATTGAGTGCAAACTAAATTACATAAATCAAATTTTCATTTTTGTTTATATTGAAATTTCTAAATCGGATTGATTTTTTAAAATTATCATTTATTTCAATAATCAAAAGTTTCTACAAATTAAATAAAAATATTTAAACAAATATTTTTGATATTATAAACAGTTTATATGCATATCATATAATAAATGTACAGTATAATAATTTAATAAAATTACACTATATCATAACTAGAGTTTGAGCAACTTTCCCAGGAAGGAAAGTTTCCTAATAAAATCCCTCCAATTTTTCCCGTAAATATGGAAAATATTTCATTTTCTGTTCATCGTTAAAAATGGAAAATATATTTTATATTGTTATAATAAATAATACCAAAACTTAAATATTTTGCAAAATAAATATCAAATAAATAAATTTAGTAATACTATTTATCAATAACACTTAAAATACAGTTTAATATAATATTTGTTTTTTAAAACATCATAAGTAAAATATGTTGTTTAGGGTTCAATAAGGCTAAAGAAAATAAAACGAGGCAGGAATTTGATAAAACCCTAATCATAACTTATAATAATTAAGTCATATAAAAATATTAAGTCTCAAAGATTAATATAATAATAATAATAATAGTTATTACACATAGTAGTGTATTTTACCAATATTAAGCAATTAATTTTTAAATAAAATATAAGTTTTGTAAATATACTTTTATAAATTGAGTTTATTTTGTTTTTCTCGATAATTGCTTATCGACAGAATAACAGATGCATTAAATGTAATATAATAATAATTATAGTATACATACAAACACTTATAGACGTCAAACCACCTGTTTGTAAGTTGTTTGAAAACCTAGTAATCATCAAATTATTTTTATTTTCATTCACTTATCTTTAATATTTATAAATTTATAAATAGATATTTGTTTTAAGTTAAACAACTTTATCTCTAATACTGGAAATGACAATCAATTGATTTATATATTCAAAATTGCATTCATTCAAAATAAAGCATTATATTAAATTTTTACAACACTTTTTAAACATATTGCAATCATTTATATTGTTGTAAATCATATACTTATTGTACAAATTATATGCTGTTATATAATTGTAATAAAATGTAGTAAAGATTATAATAATACTAATATATAATCGATTACAACAAATTTTATAATTTTCTAAGTTTTTAGAAATACTAAAGCATTTTAATGTGTTTATCAAATATAAGGTTATAATAAAATAGTATCGGTATGATATTAAATTTAATTTATAAAAATAGATAATTTTATAACCACAAGTAAATAATATAACAAATATTTCTTGCACATAAATAAATTAAAAATTAGTTTAAAAAGTTATTTTGTTTAAAACTATAAATAATGTATAACATTTGAAAATCATTGCAACGATGTTTTTTAAATGATTTTTATTATTGTTTTATTTCAAGACTTGTTTTTAAACTTAATAATTAATGTATATTTATAAACCATTTTATGTCTGAGCAATAAATATAATGTCATTTGATTAAATTCACTAATAAATTGGTTGCTTTATAATTATAATCAAAATTTGTTTACTTTATCATTGTATAGTATTTTTGTAAATTGATAGTAAAAACTATTTTACTAACTAAAGTATTATACAGAATATATTGTAGTAGTTTATAAATACAATGACATGTTAAGCATAATAATATATGATAAATCTATAAATCTATCATGCTTAATTTAGTATCAATGTATTTTTTTAACAATATCAAATTTATTGAAATAAAAATAAGTTTTATACATAAATTGAAATGTGATGTTGAGCTCAGCTTATATAATACAACATTGCAAACAGTGAGTGCAGTTGTTTGCTGCCAGTGCTTGTTATATATAAATATAGAGTATATCTCAATTGATGTAATGGTAATGGACTTACCCCGGGCAGAGTCTTCTGTTCATGTAATGTGTTTTGTGCCAGTAATGCACTGTCGCGGCAACAGTAGGTCAGAAATGCACAGCCTATCGATCGATTTGGTATATATTAGTATTATATTGTTTTATTATTATTTGACATATTATTTCAATATTATTTTAATAATAATTATTATTTCTACTATTAATTAATTTTTAAATAAATATACATATTTAAAGTATATATATATACCGTATATAACTATATATATATAACATTTAAAATTCATATTATGTCTTGTGTTTCTTATTGATTAACTAAGTTGTGTAAAATTTTATTTTTACATTATATCATATATACAGTAGTATGTTAGTACATAAGTCATTCATCAAATATATAACAAATATATGACTACAACACTAATTTTAAATTTTTTTTTGTAAATTAGTGCATAATATAGATATATATATATATACTTGTTATGTATTTTATAAGCTTATACTAAAAAATTATATAACAACATAAATGTCTCAAATGATGCATAACTTTTGTACAATATTTACGATGTATATACAATACATTTTTACAATACTTTACAATATGATAAACTGATTAAAACATTTATGGAAAATCAATTAAATAATTATGTATAATATAACATATCTATGTTAATATTAAAAATAAAACCAACTGATAATAGTTATTAAAAGTTATTCATTAATGAAAAAATTTTGTCACGTTTTCTGTAATATGAATAATATAACACTAAAATAATAATGAATAATAACTATATAAATTATAGACACACAGTATATAAGCTTATATAGCAAAATATTTATGATCTAATGTAACTAAATGTTAGTTAAGGGATGGTATATAAGCAAATGTAATAATAAGTATCGTTATATACATTAATAATTTATTGTTTAATTTTCCATTCTGTTGGTTACTTATAATATTTCAGTTCACAGTATGTTAACAATGTTTCAACAATTAGTATTATTTTTGCTAAATTTTGCTAAATATTTTTCGAGTTAATTTAATTAAATATGTTATGAATTTTTAATTTTATTTTGGACTATATTGTTACTCTTATTATGATTATTTATTTAGTAATAAATTATTAGCATCATACAAATTAAGTAATAAATAAAATTTATAATATTACAGATTTATCTAAATTAACTATTTTTAAAGCATTTGTAATATGAGAGCATAATATTATATATTATATTCAAACTCTCTTTTTCTCTATTTCTATGCATAAGTAGAGTCAGGGAATTGAAGTGAATATAATGAAAGCACTGTTAGCACACAAACAACAGCGACAGGCATTAGGATTGGGATTGGGATCAGTTGCGTCACATTGTGATGACGCGATGCCATGAGTAATGCCTGTGATGGAGGACTGGTTGGCATCACAACATCACTACTCCACTTGTATTCAAGTAATACTATTATCAAATGTTTGCAATTTTAAACTGCTTTTCAATGATAACTATGTCAATAATGTTGGTGTCAGCCATGTCATCAAACTTGATGCATCTTATATTATATATTATAATAATATACACTTTAAAAGTTAATAATTATGTGCTATTTCTCATATTAATACCATTTATTCGTCTAAATTAAACCATATGGGAAATCAAAATTTTTATAATTGTTTTTTTTAATAAAAATTGATTATAGACTATAGTTTGTTAATACTATTAATATTTCTTTTATATTTGAGGGGAAAATAGAGACATTTAAAAAAGATATTGAATTATTGAAATGCATTCAGTATTGCATTTTCAAAGTATTTAGATATTGTGTAAGAAAATATAATAGCAATAAAAAATATGTATAAAAAGTAAAGCAGTACTAAATATGTGATTATAGTATAGAAATAGTGATAAAAGTATGTATAATAAAGATTTCTATGATATGACAAACCCTTATGCATTCCCGTGTATTTGTCCTTAAGGACAGTTAGTTCATAGATTTTGCCGAACTGTTCAAACAATGGCTTTAAGTCTTTTTCGTCGAGATTTCTGGGTATTTGTCCGACAAATAGTTTGATAGCGTCCTGTTCTTTGCTTGGATTTATATCTGAATCGTTGATGTGATTGTTATGTTGAATCAAATTACCATTTGATATATGAATTGTGGTCACTGTCTGTCCATTTTCTATGCCATTATGTAATGTTGCCATTGATTACTATAATGATATTCCTCTTATTATAATAATGTGTCGCTTATTGTCCATATAGTCATATGTTGGCACAGATATATATAAGAATAAAAGCACAAAAAATTATGTAAGTTATCGTTAAAAATTATGTGATGTGAGAGGTCAGACACCCACTATACGACCAGTTAGTTAGTTATATTCAACACTAACAGCACATCACAGCTGCCTCTAAGCGCTAACAACCAATACTGAACACACAAACCAATTCTTCAATGCAACAGAGCTTAAACAGAACCAAATTCATGGCATTACATCTACTACTATATGAGCACTGGTAGATCAACACACATACAAACACACTGTTAGAGCACCGGCTGAAACACACGAGACTCACATCTCTCTCTCTCTCTCTCTCTCTCTCTCTCTCTCTCTTAAAATCTATGTTCTATATGCTGGTACTAACATTAACAATATTCATTATACACATAAATTTATATATGTACTGTGTATAGCATTAATTTAAAAGTCTATTCACTCGAAATATACAATCTATTTATTGTAAATTTCTGACTTATAAATTACATGTATTTCTTAAATAATCTCGTTTCACATTAAATTAAAATTTTTACAACTATTAATAGATTGTTTAAAACTTACTAATTGATACATCTATGAAACTTATTGATAACATTTGAATAACATTCATAAGTTGATAACTTATTCATAATTATATACAATATATTAAATATACCTATAATTTAAATATAATATCAATATACTTTAAAAAAATATGATAATACATTTAAAATATTTTCATTACTATTTTATATTAAACTATAAAAATAAACAAATTTTATTTAACACACAAACAATTATTAATAAATAATAGTAATATAAAATTATTCCATTGCTATCATTATTTATTAATGTTTTATAAATAATGCATTTAATGCATTAATATTATATATATTTGACAGTACTGTATACCAAAACAAAATAATTAACTGTTGATATTTATCATTGATATCATTGTTCATTCAATGTATTCTATATTATAAGAGTTCGGACAAATTTCAATATTTTCCCTCCTAAATGGGAATTTCCTGAAAATATATTTTAATGTTGTACTGAACACATGTTATATTAAATTGTATAGCGAGTAATATTGTCAAATAGCATTAACAAATTTATTGAATTTATATTTATTTTTAAATATTTCAATGTTATGTTTAGTACTAGAGTTCTGGGAAATTATTGAAATAAATTGATTAGATTTCGATAAGTAATACCACATAAAAATAAATTGCCGATAACTTGTAAGGAAACTATAAAAATATGCATTTTTGAAAACATCACCAGAGATAGCAAATATCTCAAACACTAAATATTAATAACATATACAATAAAATCAAACATTTTAATAAACTTTATTTAACTAATTATTAAGCTTATGTTAAAATACATTATTTTTATAAATTTTAAAATGCTAATAATAATAAATATTACCTTAATATAATGCAATCTATTTATTAAATATGTGATATACAATTATCAGTATTAAATTTAAAATAATTTCATTATAAATGTCTAAATAAAAAACATATAAAAATCAATATTAATACAAATATTTCTTTTATTAAAATAAATTATTGGTAATTAAGTTTAATAACTGCCCCCAAAATGGCTAAAAATATCAATATATAAGACATTCAAACACATAAAATTAGATCATTTCATTCACTTACAAACATTCACTATATTAAGTGGTAATAAAGTTAACGCTTTAATAAACATTTATTAATACATTAGAAAAGTACGGCATTTAAGAAAATATAAGACATATTAGTGTAAAAAACAATCAATTATAAGACTCGACATAATTTGATGGCAACATTCCAGTCTGTCCGGTGCGTTGAACAGTACCTGTCATCCAACCCTCATCTATAGGCACACAATTTACAATAACATCTCCATCTAAGAAGGAAACCTCATCAATGTCTTGAGCTGTATAGTCATATATCGCACGAAATGATCGACTCGTTGGTCGACGTATTGCTGTGTTGGACACCACCTGAGTGTATGTTTGAGGACCGCCTAAATTTCATCACAAATAATATAAATATTTATATTATTTACTATATAATTAATATTATTTTTTATAAATTTTTAAAACTAAATTTTTATACCCATATGTCATATAAAAACACCACTAAATTGAATTTTATATACTAATTATTATAAATATGTCTATTAAGTACATTATTAAAAGTAAAAACATTTAAAATAAAGTAAAATACAATGTATTTATGGATAATATATTTATTAACAAAATTCCTAATATTATATACACTATTTAGCCAAACAATAAAATGCAAATAAACATCTAAAAATATTTTAGCATTAATTTCTAATTAAAGTTTAAAAAAAAATACTAAATACTAAGTTAAAAAAATGTTATATTGAACAATACAATGCTAATTACAATATATACTGTATATATCGCCGTAAGCGCATATAAGACCAGGTATTAAATGTGATATTTAGTGCCATAACAAATGCAGATTTTTTAATTTTTCAGATTTTTGAGGGGGTCTTATATGTGGGCACATACAGTATATATAATAAACAAATAAAAATATTTTACAAATAGTATAAGTTTATAATGTGCAATTCAATTAAGGTAAATAGTAAATATCACTTGTATAATATTGCTATATAAATATATATAAATAATTAAATAAATAAAATATTTTATATAATAATCTTTTCAATAAAAGAATAATATATTGTGTTATTGTGTACTAAAATAATCACAATCATTAAAAAACATTACAAAAAATTAATGAAAATAGTGATCAAACCTGTATAATAAGCAGCGGTGTTATCAATCCGATAACCACTAGCAATGGAACCGTAGTTATCGTTAATTGGATCGTAATCTGCAATTGATCCAACTTTTTTCGAGTTTTCATTTACTAAATAAACAAACAATAAATCAAACCAATAAAACAATAGATAAAATGCAATATTATTATTATTATTATTATGACAGACCTGGTCCCTCATCAGATGTATATATAACATTAGATTGAGATTTAGATGGATAAGCATTCATATCTTTATTGTTATTATTATTATTAGTATGAAAAGCATGAGATTGTGGACCAACATTATGAAGATATGTATTGTTGTCACCACTGTTTCGAATGTTATGATTGATTGAGTCGTTGTGTTGTTGCTGTTGTTGCTGAAGTTGAATCGTTTGTCGAGAGTTTTTGTTCTCATCTGATATATAAAAATATTACAATAAGATATGCAATCAATTAATAACTTAATTTATTATCAGATATTACCGATTATATGTGAGGCGGGAGTCGTGATGGCCGCCGTGTGTTGCATACTGACGGCAGAGAAGCCATTGCTGACGCGATTATCTTCTTGTCCGACATTCCTCTTCTGCTCCATTTGTTTCTTCTTTTCGTACTCTCCATGATATGCGGCGTTACTAATCCTTTGTGATATATTTCTGATGCGAAGTGTTTCGGGATCGTCGGCCACTTGCGTTAGTTTACCCTTTTGTCGTTCAAAGTCTTCGTGATATTTCACTTGACTTTGAAGTTTTGTGTTTTCAGCCAATCGTCGCGCCTCTGGTGTATCGGCTACGGCCGTAGCCCTGGCCTGAGGACAATGTCTGTTGCAATGATAATGAAATTTACAATCAATTTAACCAATAATAATGATTTGATATATGATATTAAATAGTGTTAAAACTTCAGTCATATAAGTAAATGAAAATATTAATCAATTTTTAGCTTTTATATCATTATTAAAATTATAATAATATTAATAAAACAATTTTGTAATAAAAATGAATTAATTCTACAAAAAGTTTGAAACTATTAATAAATTATGATTTTTTATCATTTGGTTTGTTATCATCTGATATTGATATTAATAATGGATCAGTTGTGGTGATGTTATTATTAAATACTCACGCATTACAATAGGGAAGTTTGTTGAATCCCTTATAGTTCTTCATATTCAAAGTCATACCACACTCTTGACATTTGAAGCATAGTTTGTGCCAAACCTGTCATCAAAAAAGACAATCAATCAATCAATTGGTCACAAAGTCTTCAAATCACCACAAATGTCAAACAGAGACACACCTTATCGAGACATTTGAGTTCTTCAATGGGATAAACAGTTTTATCACATCGACTACACTTCTTGGCACTCATTGTGGTCAGTGATTACCGATCGGCGGCAATGTGTGGCCAATGAGTCAACACATCAATCGCTGGTATTATTAGTCAAATGCAGTCAAAGCCTACACCCGAACACTCAAACAACACTAATAGCAGTACTTAAGGGATCGTATATTCAATACAATTCACATTATATCACCAAACACTACAATTACCGGTAAATATAGTAATATATTATTCAATATTAATATTTCCAAACTATTTATTCACAGTATTAGCACAACTTAATAGATAATAGATTTTAACCATTAATTTAACAGTTTTACCAATAATTCAATACATCATTATATCATTTAAATCATCAAAGTTTATAAATGATATTAATTTTCTATAATTAGTATTAATAGTCAATATCTTATTTAGTTTGTTTAATATTTGCCTTTTTGTTATTATTCATAGTATTATAACTAAAAACTTTTTGATGACAAATAATATCTCAAATGTATAACACTTTCAAATTACAATATTCATACAGTAGTTATTCATAAGATAATTATAATAGTTTTACTTAAAACAAAATATTAAAAATATATTAATTTTATAGATCTTTTACCTGAAAAGTCAAACATATTTATACTGTAAACAACTGTTTAGTTACAAATGTTTGATTTGATATTTATTTAAAAATTTACTAATTTGTTAAAAATGAATATCTATTTATTGTGTTTCAAATACTTGTTTAAACACGTAATTTACAGTCAATTATAACTTAATTTACACTAAATATACTATTTTTCAAAATTTTTATTATAGTTATATTAGACATTTAATTGAAGTGAGTTTTATTATTTTACTCATAAAATTTTCAATTATGAAAGTATAAAAGTTAGAAATTAATTAAATTAAATTGCTTTTGTATAATATCCCGAAATTTTCAGTCTATTCATATTACTATATATATTATAAATCTTTAGTAAGATTGCAAATAAAAGTGTTATTACTATAAAAATAACATATTTTAAGACTAATAGTATGTATAACGATGTCTAATCTAATCGTTAAACAATTTATATAATACTAATTAAAAGCGCAACAAAAATCAACTTCAAAGAGATTTATGATATAGATTTGGTTTTAATATTGCATTTGATATATTAATTACATTTTATTAAATTGACAAATATTATAATTATTGACATATTAATGATTAAAATGATTTGAAAAACTCTATTATTTATTAAACAATATAATGTTAAACGTATTGTTATTTAATTGTTATTTAATTGTTATTTAATTGTTATTTAATGCAATTTCAATGAATAGTTAGAAAGTATGGAAATAGTTGTCAAAAGTTTATTGCAATGACTTTACGTGACATATCAGTGCCATCTATGAGTATTATAAGTAGTGTTAGCACTGGTATGTAATGGTGTGGTCGCCATAATCGCCACATTTTATTTAAACTACATTTCCTTTTCTGTTTCAACAATGTCTAAGAGAGGTAAGACTTATAATTTTTAATGAAATAATCTTTAATTTAATTCAATTATAATATGATTGCAATTAGTTATTTGATTTATTTATTAAAATATATGTAATTATTATATCGATTGATTAGTTATGACAAATGTAGTTAGTTTTGTAGGACTTAAGCATAAAGTGTTAGGCGATAGCCATGTGTTTAGAGATAATACATATGATTTAATGTATGTTTAACTGATCCATAGGACGTGGAGGTACTGCTGGTGCGAAGTTTCGCATTTCACTCGGTCTGCCGGTGGGCGCAGTTATGAACTGTGCCGACAATACGGGTGCGAAGAATCTGTTTGTGATTGCTGTCAATGGCATTAAGGGTCGACTCAATCGATTGCCTGCCGCCGGATGTGGCGATATGTTTGTGGCGACCGTTAAGAAGGGAAAACCTGAACTGAGAAAGAAAGTAATGCCAGCGGTTGTCATCAGACAGAGGAAACCCTTCAGAAGGAAGGATGGAGTTTTCATCTACTTTGAAGACAACGCCGGCGTTATTGTCAACAATAAGGGAGAAATGAAAGGATCAGCCATTACTGGTCCCGTGGCTAAGGAATGTGCAGATTTGTGGCCCAGAATTGCTTCAAACGCCAGTTCTATTCAATGATTACTTTCACTGTATTTTCAAGTTTTGATTTTGAAATAAATAACTGAAAAAAGATTTGAAATTATTTTTATTTTTTAAATAGTTTGCAAAATATTTCCGCAAAAATACCTAAAATTTCCAAAATGTGAAATCCAAATAATAAATAAATTATATTATGATAAGTTTAAATTAAAAAAATGAAAATTTAATTATTGAGTGCTTTTGAGGGAACAAATATAGTGATCTCATCGTTAGTCTGTGCGGCCTTCAGTCTGGCCTTTCTTTTTGCTTCTTTAAGACGATTTCGTCTTTCAGAATCTCGTTCTGAATTGTTTTCATCACAGGCTTTAGCGGGCGATCCTTTAGGAGTAGACTTTCGAGACCGAGCTTTGGTTGGCGTCGATGTCTATTACCGGTAATAATAATGAAAAATAATAATCAATATTATATATGTCGTTACCATTAGTCTACACATACCATCATTTTTGGTATATCTAACTCATAGTTCCAACCGCTTTGTTCAAGTGTATTGATTTGGGCGAATGTATTGTTAATATCAGTGACTTGAATGCAAACCATATCCCAAAAACCCTCCAAATCATCATTAGTTGTAATGAATTGTTCGGAATTGATCTGACTCTGGATTGTATACAAATTAACATAATTAACAAAAATACAATAAACAAAATAATTTCAATTCATACAATATTTTTGAGACATAATTCATGAAACTGTTTAAATTTCTTATTTATAAGTAGATTAGCCTTTCCGATGGCTGCTCTTAGTTTACCACAAATCTCTTCACTCATTTGACTATTCTGTCTTTGAAGCAGCTCTTCGGTCAGATCTATCTTTTGTTGTATATCTTGAGTTGTATTGTTTAATTCATTCAAAAACCAATGTCCATCTTTTATATTATAACTATTACTTTGAATACATGAATCCGGGACATCATTTATATTACATATCTTTTTGTTTGTGTCTTCATTTGACTCTTTGTTAAGTGTTATATCTGATACAACCACTTCATCATTGATCCCGTTATTCGATATTTGATTTTCGGTATCTGTTTATTAAAAATAGAAATTAATAATCAAAAGATTTATAAAATTAAAATTATGATAATTATTGTATAATTGATTACTTGAATGATTAAAGTTTAGATTATCATTAAGAGAATCGTTTAAATTATCAATTTTGTTGTCTTCGTGGTTGATATTAGTTGATGTTGTTTTGCATTTTATTAGATTCAGTGTATTATTCATTTGTATTGGTTTAATGGTCTTATTTTGTGATAATTTATGAATTGGTGGACACGAAGGACTTCTTTGTTTGTCTAAAATGCATGAATTGTTCGACTTTTGTTTGGTTTTAGATCGCGATTCTCTCCAGTCTTTAGCAAATGACTGTCCGTACAAACTGGCGATCCTTTGCTCTAATAATGAGTTCTTATTATTTAAATCACTGTTTATGTCACAGTTTGTCACATCCAGTGATCTATCGGTTCCACAACTTTCGTTGTCATCAATATCTTCATTTAGATTATGTCTACTTGTAATCAATGCTTCCCCAATCATACTATTCTTGCGATTCACTAACTCATTGATGCGATTCACCGGTTCTTGAGCTGAACTCTTGAGTTGAGTTAAACTATAGTCACGTCGGGCGTAACTATTGGTCCGCAATGAGGAACAGTATCTGTTATAATCAGAATAGCCAGAAATGGCACAACTGATGGCCATATATGATGGCAATCGGTGACCATTTGTCACGTGTGATGATTTGCCGTTCAATTGAGTCCTATTTGTGGCCTCACTATCATCTTCTTGAGTCAAAGCAATGAGCGTATGATCTGATGCCGACCGAGTGGTCACACCGTTTGTTGAGCCGTCCATATCTTCAACAATATTATCAAATAAATTATATATTTTATCAAATCATTAGCTTTTGATAATCTTTTTTCACATCAAAATCAATGACAAATCTTATTCACAAAAATATCATTGTATTTGACATCAGTTTATCGTTAATAAAGTGATATCACATTCATCTTAATGTTAATTATGTCTTCAAATAGTCATTTACTGTCAAACCATTGCATTTGTCATAAGATTTATAATTAAATGTATATAAACTATATTAGAGTTACAATAAATATATTAAATAAATAAATACATAAATAAATAATTGAATCAATGATTAGTTATAATAATAAATTAAATGAAATTATTTGAATAGTAGTCATAAATAGCCGTCAATTGTAAACATTTAACTCAAGCCATTGACACAATATTAGAGGAAAGGGTGGGTTGAGTTGCCGGGGGGTCATCACTACTAGTGAGTCACTACTGTATATATGAGATACCGTCTCCCATAGCCCACCCCTCAACCCTCAACTTAATACTTGACTGAATGTTTAAACGCATATTACGTAACACATAATCAACTAATATATTAATACAATAGTATTGCAACAAAATGGGTCTCAATTAGTCTCTAAGCATTGGATTTCACAACAAAAAACATTTGAAACAAAAATATTTCAAACAATTGTCTCGTATATGTAATCACTTAAAATATTTGACTCATTTTAATAATATAATCATTTTTTCATTATATCATGTTTTCACTGACAACACAATCCAAGTTCACCTAAAAGTTGTCAACAATTGTTTGCCCCCTTTTGCTACCAATTCAATGGACTAACAAATAATTGACAACTTTTTTGTTTATTAATATTTATACAACAGATCTTATATTATAATGATTTTTGTTTGTGTAATGGTTTGCATATACTGTACATCATATCATTTGATGAAATTACAGTACTATATATTAATTTACATTAATCATTGTACAGTACTCGACAATTGTAGGATTTAATAAACAAATTGTTTAAAAATTATATTATTATTTAATAGGCTTTATTAGTATAACCTTGTTACACTTATTTTTTTGCAATTATTAAATAACATTAATATACATGCATTAAATCATACGGATAATCAAATCAATCATTATTATTACTGTATATACTGTAGGATACTGTATAAGTAGTGAAAACTATTATAAATTATATGATAATCATTGAAAAATGCATTTAATTTAAATGAAAATATTATACTAAATATTTATTGACTATTATATGCAAAAATTTATTTTACTGATAAATATTTTTCATTATTTTTATTTGATTTACTATTTAGTTTTTATTTATTATTCTTAAAACTTCAATAAATTGATTATTCAATTTATAAAATATTAACATTTATTTAAATTATATGAAAGTTATTAAAAAATGATAAAATGAGACAAAGAGAAATAACAATAAAATATTGAAAATAATTGTATGAATTTAAAATATTTAGGGTTTGGTCACAATAAATATGCTATACTCCCAAATAATATCACTAATTAACATATGGTTTTAAATAATAATTATATTTTGATCGATCAGTAGGTTTAGGGTCAATGATCTGTTTGATAAATCAAATGCTTATTTACTATCTTATCTAAATTGGATTTATTTTGATAACTTATATCAGTTGTATAGCTATTGTGAATTAATGGGTTAATAGTCAAATGGGAGTCAAATAGTAAAGTTACATATTATTGCTTTCACTAACATTATTGTTACCGGATTTGTTAATAAATATTTATTATGATTTACTTAATGCATGATAGTAATAATTGTTGCATGCTTATTTTTCTTAATTTCTAAAAATTTCTAAATGTATTGTCTAAAATTCTAATATTTTTTAATAATTAGAATTTAATAATTTAGAACTATAACTAGTTTTTTAAAATTTTAATATTTAATGTATATTTGATAATAAATTTAATTATATTTCATAACTAAATTATAAAATTATATTATATAATATCTAAATTTATTTTAATATCTCTTGATTGATTACAATATTTTTTTGAGAAAGTGCTATATTTATATATGAAATAAATACTTAAATAAGATATAATAAACATTTTTAATCATTTATACAGTATATCATGTATGTTATAGTACAGTATAAGTTGATGACTTAAATAGAGTTATTGGGAATGAGAATATAATTTAAATAAATTTAATGATTTGACATAAATCTAAAAAGAGAGATATTTTTATAACGGGATCTCATTTTAAGAAAATAAATTACAAATTAAAAACACATGTTAAAAATTAATAATAATAAAGTAAAATATAAACTTTATATGGTACACTATATATTAATTTTATATAAAATCAATTTTTTAAAAGCTATTTTAACAAAAAAAATATAGAAAATAACATTAGTAATATTTAACCTGCTTTCCAGATGTTATCACTAAATAAAATTTAGTGAAAATCTTTGATATTTATTATCATTTTAAATTTAATTACAACTTTGAAACATTTATTATTAATAGAATATTTATTATTTTATAAAAAACTTAATATAACAAACTTTTTAAAAATAATCAAACATTCAATTATTATTATTTTGCTGTTAATTCTTAAAATACAATACTTAAAAACAATATTAAATTTATTGATAAAAATATTTACTTTTGATGTCACGAATATTGAATATCAATAAAATAAAATTAATTTTAAAATATTATTATTAAAAATGATATGTCATAACAATATTTTGAATACATTTTCACGACTTATTTCAGGAAATACTACAGTAGTTAATAATTGCAAAAATATATAAATATATAAAAATCAGTCAAATGTTTATTTGACTACTAATAAGCCTTTTGTTAAACATTTTTTGTTATAGTTGGCTGATTGCTAAATGACATTATGTATAATTATTTTAAATAATAATTGATTGTCAATTGTTTTCAATTATTTCAATGTTTTAAATATACTGTATATCAGTATTAGAGTTCGAGCAACTTTCCCAGAAAGGGAAGTTCCCTAACAAGATTCCTCCAATTTTCCCTGAAAAATATAAAATATTTTATTTTCCCTCCCTTCATCGTTAGAAAAGAATAATAATATTTTATATTATTAAAATAAATAATACCAAAACTAAAATATTTTGCAAAATATTTTATTGAAATATTTAAAAATAAATTTAAAGATAAAATTAGTGATACTATTTATCAATAACACTCAAAATAAAGTTTAATATAATAATTGTTTTTCAAACATCAATAAAATGTGTTATTTAGTGTTCAAGAGGTGTTAGCAGAAGGAAATAAAATTCATAGGAATTCCCAGGGAGTAGGAATCATATGGTTGTTTTGGATAATAAAAACGATATAAGGAATTAATATTATATTAAACTGTATTTTGAGTTCAATTGATAAATAGTATCACAGAGTTTATCAAATTGAAATTTATTTATAAATTTTTCAATAAAATTTTTGAGTTTTGGTACTATATATTTTAATAATATAAAATATATTTTCTCTTTCTAAAGATGAAGGGAGGTAAAATAAAACATTTTCCATATTTTCCTGGAAAATTTTGAGTGATTTTATTAGGGAACTTCCATCCCTGGAAAAGTTACTCGAACTCTAACTGTAGTACTGTATTATACAGTATGTAAACTTTAATGACTAATATTCAAACTATTTTAATGAAAAAATTTTATTTCCTAAAAATTATTGTTTTAAAGTATTGTTTTTTATTTTTGTATTAATTAAATTGACAATTTTTTTAAAAAAAAACTTCGATTAGCATTGAATAAATTAAATTTTAATTTATTAAAATGTGTCATTTTAGCTATTTATAAACTATAGTATTTACCGGTTTATTTAATGAAATTATTGACCTATAATTACGATTTAATGGCAAATAACATTTGATACTAATTTATAAATGTTAGCCACAAGACACATGAAAATGTTTAAATGTTTGATATTAATAGAAATTTCCTCTATTTTCAATGTTATTCAATGACATGATCATCAAACTACTGTATATAACAGTTATAAGTCAAATATTTTTTAAATTATAAAATATCTAAAAGTTGTTTAAATTATTCGTGATTTCTTATAATAAATTTACTGATGATATTGATTAAGATATGACTCATAAAATATCATATTAAGACCAGACATGAAATACCGGTGCCTCACCTCTCACATAGTTATTATAGACGAAACTCAAATTACTTGATTATGTGAACAAATTAGCGCTTATTTGTTTAAAAATGAAAGAAAAATATATGAGAAATGTATAAATTTAGATCATAAATGATAAATTAATCTTATAAAATATGTAACTATTATATTAATATTACATCATTATATTTGTTAATAGCCATTGAGTTTATGCATAAATAGTGATTGATAATTTATAACATGAAATTTCACATTAATCCTTGAGATTATTGCATATAATTATTGTTTTTTTTCATTAACAGTTTATTTACTTTATTTTGTTAAAAATTGACTTCAATTTAGAGCAAATTTGTTCTCATGTATAATAAAATATATTACTGGTATACAACTTTGGTATTATAATTTAAGTTAACTAAAAAATTAAAAGCAATCAACTATTGATGCGAATCATGCAATCAAATTAATTTGCATTTCATAATTGCATCTCAATAGTTATTGATATTTTTACACATAATGTGAATTCAATGTCTTATCATAATTTTGTTGTTTATTTGCAAATAAATTGATTTTTCAAGTGAATAATTGAATAAAATTTGAGACTATTACTGATAATATCTATACAGAAAAAAATTTAGTTGTGTATTTTTATTGCAATCAATACAAACATAAAACTGATTTTGTTTTAGAAAAATAATACATTCACTAATTATTTTTCAATTGTATAATTTTCTATGAGTTTTCAATTGTTAATAATAATTTCATTCAAATAAATACAAGTATGTCAAATACCAGGGTTAAGTAAGGGGGGGGTAAGGCCAAAATACCCCCCCCCTAAGATCGAGAAATTGGGATTTTACCCCCCCCAGACTTTTTGACCAAATTGAAAAAATTGTCGCTTAAAAACGAGGAGAAATGACCCCCCCCCTAAAATTTCGGCGCCGAAGGCGCCGAAAATTTTTTTGAAATTTATAAAAATTTTAATTTTAGTTGATACTATTTTAGTAAGTGTTTTTATGTTTTTAATATTTATAAAAATCTA